CAAGTGATAGCAGATCAATGATGCTCATCAATCGAGCTAGCCGGTCGATGGCATCCCCTGATTTATCATCAATGTATGCCTTGACCATAGGATCTCGGTAAGGGGCGCATAGGCGTGGTAAGATGTTGTTCATGAACTCAAAGAAGTTATCATAGGAGAATGTGCCAGCTTCACACTGTCCCTGAACCAGTTTGGGGTCCAAGACTTCACTAATTACCACGTAAAGGGAATTGCCTCGTCGAAGTGAGCGCAGCAAGCGATCTTGGATCACTGTGGCCATGGCGACAGTCCAGTTGGTGCCGTTTCCGGCTTCCACCCCTTTTCTCATTGTGTCGCACATCTGCTTCATGATCTGTCTGCGTGGTTCAGTGTACGGTGCTTCCTCAATTTTGAACTCTTTGTTGATAAGAAGTTCATGCACCAGCTCCCGATTTTCAGGAAGAGGGGTTAGGATTTTGGTGAATCTCTCGTGGGGAGATGTCCGCTGCATGTCCAGCTGTTGGAACACAGCGGTATCGATGTTGTTGAATGACTCGGTAAGAGGCGATGTAACACTCTGCGTAATGTCCGTTGTTGGAGGAGCAGTCTCAGCAGACCGGGGAATAGCTTGTTTGGGGGCAGCCCTCTTCTTCTCCCGCTTGGCCTTCTTCAGTGAATCTCGGATCAGTTCCATATGTCGGTCGGGCCCCGCAAGTCTCTTCAGACGGGCGAGCAAAAGGACTTGGTTCTGTCGGATACCCAGTCTGTAGTCCTCCGCAGCACCGCCAGCTTTGTCATTCTTGACCGTCTGCCAAATCAACTCCAATTCGACAAACTGTGCAACCATGATCTCAATCAGTACACTGGAGTCGTGGGACTTCCAAGCATGGAAAGCAGAGAAAAAAACATTGTGTGATTCACACAAGGTCTGGAGATCGGCCGTGATCACAGATGGAGAGCAACAGCCTGACGATAGCAGCGCCATGACCTGGTGAAAGGCTACCAGTAGCTCCCGAGCCTTGGCAATTAGATCTTGCTCCTGGTCTCCGTTGCTGCTCAGAACTTCCTTTGGGTGAGTGACAATGAGATAGCTGCTAAGGAATGTGCGTACAGCACCCCTCTCACCCAGCGCTCCGCCTTCCATATCCTGCAGACCACAGAGTCGGAGGACGTTCGTCATCGCATCGAGCAACTTGCCGTTAGAAAGGAGAGCACCAACTTCTTCAAAGGTCATGTCACGAACTCGGTCCACCGACAGGTTCAACGACTGGAACTGCTGCATAACCATCTTCGCTTTATGAGTTCTCCATACGCGCTGGATCTTCCGTGCAGCCACATCCTGCGTGACCGACTTAGTGACCTTTAGTGCCATCTTCTTTTCCTCAGTGGCTGGCAAGCTGCTAGTACGCTGGCGGCGGTGAGTTTGTCGATATAGTGTGCGCCGTTTCTCTGCCTCTGCAAACTTCTCCGCTATTTCCAGACGTAAGCGAGCTTGTTCGGCCGCTTTCTTCTCCCGTTGATCCTCGGCCTTCTTCTTGGCCCGTTTGACCTGATCCTCGCACTTGGCAGTTATATCGGCGAGTAGACGCTCCCGGGCCTGCTGGGCAGCCAACGCCCTCTCTTCGTATTGTAGATTCCTAGTAACTGCTTTAGCCAGAGCGGCTCGCAGCCTCACTTTCTCCGCATGCAATGCACGATCAGCGAGTCGTGCCTTTCGGCTTTCCAAAATGGACGTGCGACGGAGATGTTGAGCAATATGGTCCACACTGGGTGAGCCATTTGAGGGCCCGTTCGAAGTGTGGGAGTTCAAGGAGGACACTGAGCTTCGTCGAGATGAGGCAGAGGAACGGCGGGCTTTGCTGCTTTTCCGGTAGAAACGGGCTGCGATGTGTGGTGGGAGACTCAAGGGAAGTGCCAGCTCCTCAGAGAGCATATCAACGTCGAGATCGCTCACAGATTCGGGTGAAAGAGGTGTTGAACCAGTGTCCGGCTGGATCTCGATATCGGAGTTGCGACGGATCATAGTATGGGGGCGGTGACGCGGGTGCGACGCGGAGCTGATAGAGCGAAGGGGAGAATCGGCGGGGCAGTACTGATAAGAGATTGGAATAGGCCGTTGTTCGCAGGGATCTTCACATGAACAGATTCTGGGATCCCAGTCGAGTGAGTTCAAGTATTTAAGGAAAAAGGATCAATCGAGATGGGTTGAAACCAAGGAGTCAAAGACATGCACATCACTCGGCTGGGGGGGTGTTGAGGGATTGACTCGTTTCAGAATGGGAAAAATTCCGTAGAAAAAAGGAGATCGGATGGATCCGTTGGATCAGTTGGATCAGACAAATCAGCTCAATAGCTCAATAGCTTAATAGCTAAACCACTAATTTCAAAAGCATGACATGGTGAAACTAATCCAACGTGGATCCGAAATGGAATTTCGTGGCTGCAAGCAGAAGCTGAGGTAAGCGCGACAAACCCGATCTTCGGTATTGATAGCTTCAACGTTGAGGACTTGGTATGTGTTTTTTTTTTTCGTCTGATGTTCATCTGCATACAAGATTTACCTCTATTTAACACGGTGTATCACTCTGATCTACCCTTGATCTCGATTTGCCCGCTTATTGTATGGTATGGCACGAAGCACAATGCACAACTAGTCCGCGCGTGACGTGTGCCACAGGCTGCATCTTGATAGGGATGCGGCTTAGCCACAGGTGGTTGCATAGGGCACGAAAATTGAAACCTATTTCGTTGCGGCCACTCAGCACTTATGTTGTTGAGATATCTTTCGCGACTTATCTCCTTGGGACTCAGAGTCAGCTGCTATGACTCGGCCCACCTGGGAATCCTTAGTCGCAAAACAAGAGGTCCTTCGGTATGGATGGTGAAATCGATTTCCCCGTTCCATGGCCAGTCTATCCTTTGAGTGCTTTCAATCATCGATTCTGAGACTTGCAAACGCAAAGTGGTCGTAGTGTGTAGATGCAAATTGACGGCCTTTTTCTCGTTTGCGCTGCAACCTCAGACATCTCCACGGAGAAAGCCCAACGTACGTGTGACATCGGGCTAACAGAAAGCACTTTAAACTCACTCATGGTACTGGGAGAGATCCTTGTCCGAGGAGGCTGGTTGATTCAAATACGTGAACTGCTTGCCATCCAGATGCTTGTCAACACGGCATTGTAAAGACAAAGCTCCGTGATATTAGCATAATTGCCATTACGCTCAAACTTAAAGGCATTGTGTAAGTGGCCATAACATTTGGAGACATGCGAAAAGAATCAGAAATCTTCTTATAGTTGCTGTTCGGTCAGCATCACTAGTTCTGGCACAGGTCTTTACATAGTAGTCCCCTTCATCAGTTTCCTGAGACAGGAAGTAGTCGATACCAAAGCCTTCCCACTGTTAAATCTAGTGCCACCTGTGATATAGATCCTTTTCTCTGACATTTTTGCTCAGCACTGGTTGACTACGGGCAAGAGAGTTGTTCCCACTTTGCTGTCGGGCTGGGATATTCGAACCAAGCCCGCGACCGCCGTGAGAAGATTTGTACCTTGGAGTATTCCTTGGTTGTTTTTTTGGCAATTGGCATATGGGCCGGTACCTAGAACCTTGGTAAGTACCCTCACCACAGAAATGAATGAATGAAATAAAGCTGTTGTAGTTTACCAACAACTCCTGGTGGCAAGAACGTGCACAGGCAACGTATGCTCATTCTCGCCTCTTGCTTCTGATTGAACATCATAGTATTGCCGTCTTTCCATCCCTCCTGTGACCTTGTATAAACGTAACAGATTTCACAGTTGACAGGCTTGGTAGACAGGGCCTGCTACTTGCTGGGTTTGTAATTCAGTCGCTGGCACTATTGATCATGTCTTGTCTTGCAACTGCTTACCCGGCAATCGGGAACAAGGCAGCTGCTATCGTGGAGGTTGCAATGCTATTCATTGTTGGATCAACGCACTGCCGGTCAAATGGCCCTATTGCTCTGACGGTAACGACAGAGATCTTCTCTCAGCATGTTAGAGATAAGGCGGGTTGGGGCGAAATTAATCACCCATGGAAGAAACCGCTGATAGCATTCATTAAGGGCTTTAGTCTGTCGATACTTGAATAGAAGTGCTGGCTTATTATACTCACGCTACCTTGGCCATCCTTCAAAAAAATGGTTGAGGGTAACAGTTGTTGGCTGCTGTTTGGTTTGAATGTAGCTGCTGGGGTAGGTCCAAGAGCAGTCCTATACAAACTCTTTTAAACACTGACCAACGACCATTCACGCATCTGTTTACTTCAATCTCCCCGAAATCAAAGGCATCAGTTTAGAGCAAATGGACAAGATCTTGAAGGGTCCGGATAACGTAACTGCTGCGGAATCTGAAGGAACTTCTGAGAACGCGAAGCGATGACCATCATGAACAAAGGAGAAAAGATCCCAGTTGCTCATGTGGGAGCGTGCTGCTCAAAACCGCTCTTCTCAGGGACCGGAAAGATCGTCTGTTTGATTCAATCGGGTTGGTAGATTAAACTGGGCATTGAGACTATAGATGGCCGACGAAGAAATTTAGTGGAAGCCAGGTAAGATAGAAAGTTTTATTAAAATTGCTATCATTGTCATGATAACAGTGTGCTTTGAAACCAGAGAAAAAAGAGGTGAACGCTATGCTGCAGCGAAGCCAGCTGCTTGATGCATGCAAAATCAACACCCCTGAGATGCGTTGAGTTGGCCTTTGCTTGGTTGAGTGCGAAACAAAGGCACCTTTGGAGTTACCACATGTGTAAGAAGTACTGTCACCTGGTGCAACCCAGTCAGGGATAGGCACCGGCTTAGGCGTTTTTGAGATCGAACCCCATGGACCAGGATGGGTGGGATTGTGACCAAGGGCTGAGCAGTGTTCATTGCTCAGTGTATGGTTTGACCGGGGCTAATTGACGAGGGCAAAGATAGATCTTGGGTCAAAATTCCAGGACGATAAATCAATATACCATCAGCCACCTGGGTTTATGCGTAAAATTCTGCATCGGTCTCATTGATGGCCGAATATTTGAATGTGATCTTGATCTTCCTCTTCCTCTTCGTCATCTGTGCCATGAGAACCATCCGATTCAGCCGAGTCAGAAGACTCAACGTCTTCTTCTTCAGTCTCAGCTTCCAATACGTTTTTAGTTGACTTAGCTTCACCACCAAACAGTCCATATCGGTCTGTAAGCTTCTTGCTCAAGAAATTCAATGCCCCATAGTCCTCATTGTCGCCACGAGATGGACCTCCAAAGAAGGGGATAGATGAAGATTTTTCTGATTCACGCTCAGCTGGCAGTCCAAAGTAGTTGCTGACGACGGGCGAGACAGCACGGCCTCTTGTAATGTTATAGGATGAGAATTGTCTAACGGGTTCGGGGGGCATAGGGACACTGAGCCGTGAATGAGGAACCGATGTGTTATTGACATTTAATGCTGCCACGGAAGATGACACCGAGTCATCGTTTTCAATGAGTGAAGATGACCGAGGCCAAGGAAGACCTCCTTCCTCGGCGTCTTCCTCGGGCCGAGAAGACATGTCTCCATGCAAAATGCGAAGTTGGGCTGTATTGTACGACTCACATCTACATTCCATCAGTGGGTGTTGATCATTTTTTTCTCTTCAAAAGTACCTACAAATCACATCTTAAGCCGAGCCAATGATATTTGACAACTGATTTTGAACCGCAATCATTGCAGTAAATAAGGCCTTTGGTGTCCTTAAACTCGTCGGGCATAGGCTGGCTGTTGATGGTACGATCCAGGTTTCGGAAAGTCGATTCCATGTTGGTGATGGTCTTGCTGCAAAGTGGACAACGGTAGGAACTTTTGGAGTACTCTGAGAGACATTTGTGGTGTATGCTGTGGCCACATCGCATGACGACGACAGTGTCTGGAGAAGTGAACATGTAGTCGCCACATATGGGACAGTCACACTGGGTGGAGCGTTCAATGCAGCGATGGGTGTTCTCAATACTGATAGGAAGACAAACAGAGCATGTCTATATTGCTGTCAGTATCAGCATCGTCTAACCCATGTCGGAGCCATTACCTGGCAATGGAAAAAATCCTTTCCTAGTCCCTGCCCAATTCGACAGATACCACAATCGTTGCAATGATAGATGCTCTTTTTGCTGTCGTTATCCCAGAGCTTGCAAATCTCGCAATAATACTGTGCAGTTTGCTCGTTGCACTGTCTGCAGTTCTGCGCTGCAGGCTGTGCATGCCCACATAGCATACAAAGCATGTGTTCGGTGTCTCGACGAACGAGAGGGTGGCTTTCCACTGCGTCATGGCAAAAGCGGCAGGTATACCATTTTTTGCAACTGTAGCACTCGAGTTTCACATTGCGCTGATAATGCGCACATCCTAGAGTAGTCTCTTCTTGTTCTTCTATGTCACGGTCTTCGTCCCCAGTTTCAAGTTCTGGTGATTCTGTTTCTGCCTTGGGCACGAAAGTGGGCTGCAAATCTTCAGGTGTGAGAGTCAAGGTCCTTTCATATAGAGGAACTGATTCGGAGTATGGTGAGCTCGGTCTAGAAGTATTGATCTCTGAGGCCCTGAGAGTCTGTGGGTTTGTTGGCAGCCCTAAGCTCGGTAGGCTCGATGGAGTTGAGAATACCACCACGCCAGTGGTGCTTGGAAGCTCACGAGCCGAATTGTAACCTTCGGTCATTAGACCATGAACCATTCGCGCCTTTTCAGCATTGGTGAGCCGCAATTCCCTGATTGCAATGATCTTGCTTCTTAGAACTCCCATCCCATCATCCGCCGGAAGCGAAGAATGAGTCAGTTCCTCCGGATCAAAGGCATTATCCAAAGATCGCCGAGGCTCGCTGATGAACATAGCTGAAGTTATATATTGTGGCTCATTACTTGAGTTCAGCGCCTCGCTGGGGTTTGAAGCTTGTAAATTCGATGAGTTGTCCGGCTGCACGATGATGTCGATTTCATGGGTGGGATCAAATGAGCCGTCTATGGTCGCAGCTATGTTTTGAATAGATGCGGGTGTGTTGTGGGTCACTGGTTGAGTGTCCTCCGGTTGCAAGTTTCGGCCATCCATCTCTTTAGGTAGGGTTGTGAATAAAGGAGGGCTCTGCAGGGACCCCGCACCCGCATCTCCGCAGTTCGATTTCTGTTCGTGATCTTGGCTCTGCTGAGAGACAAGGTTTTGCTCTTCACTATCACTCGAGGGGTTTGTTGATTCGTTCAGATGGAATTTAGGTTGATCGTCATTTGGCTGGCTGCTTGACTGGGGTGGTAAGGGGGGTCTTATTCCAATTTGGATCAGAAACGAGGAAATGAAACCACTCATGAAGTGCTGTAAACCGGCATCCCATAAAATCACTTTAGATGCTTGAAACCAAGCAAGATCAAACCCCAAAGCTTGGAGCTGAAACAGCAGACATCGTAACATGTGACGTCCACGGGCACCGCCTCCGGTGCTGAATCATCGTCACATGGTCTGGAGCTGGAGCCTGAGCTGATTTGCACGATTTTAGTTGGACCAAGTTGGACTCGAAAATCAGCGAATGCTGGCAAAGAGAATGGACAGACTGTCATTTTTGGTTTAGAATTTACTTAGAGAATTCTACCATGTAGTCTCTCGTCAATGTTGTCTTCCATGCAGAGCCATTACGCTCAGCGGCCAATGCTGTCTACCAATGAGTCTCAAGTCTGCAGATAAGGATTGGCTCTACTATTTTGTATTTGAATGCCAAGGCATGTAGAGTGCCATTGACACAATGTGTTCCATGCCATGAGATTGTCCGGAAATACAACGCACGGTGCTGAGCCGGCGGCAGACCGGGCCATCCATCGTGTCTTACGGAATCCTGATGCGATTGAGATATGTACCGGTGTTCTGATCACGGCAATACCCGGTAGATACAAACCCCCTTTTGAGCGAGCTGCCTCAGTGTCGATGTGGATTCATGCCCAAAGGAAGCGCTTAGGCCTAACGGACACACGATCTGGCGCAGCGGCTCAGATCAGCACCGAGGGAAAAGTTGAGAACTGCTGAGTTTGAATCATCTGAGACATGTGCCTAAACTCTCATTCAAACGGTCAAGTGTCAAATTGTAATGGTCAAAGACGCTCGTCCGCAATTGATTCTCTACATGACCGAGGCCCAGGGACCGTGGACTGAGGCCAAGTCAGCGGATTTCCTTCTCCACTTCTGTTGGTGGCCACTCACACGCGAGAGTCTCTCACAAGGTGACCTTGTTCCCAATATCTAGCTAGCAGAAGATTTTTCAGGATCTTGTGTTCCATGCCCGCAACCTCGGTAGCTCGTTCGAGAAAACGGAGGGTGTTGTTGATTTTGACAAGATCAAAATCTTCGGAAGGAGAAGAACGATAGGATTGTCGCAAGGATTTTAGAAGTATATGGCGACTCGGCGTCGAATACTGAATCGCTTTCAGCCCCTGTCGATAGAGATGACGGTATGCGTGAACCACAGCTCGTTGATCCACCTTCATGGCCCGGATTGAAGCGTTCATGTCCGATCTATTGGACAAGTCCGAGCCACTAAACTTGCAGCAGATGTACAATCAGACAGAATTAGGCGGAATCAACGGAGATCTGGGCGTTGTGGGTTTAGCATTGGAGGAAAGGAAGAGTGCAAGACGGTCAAAGTTGGGGAAAGGTTAAAGCCTCAGGCAGGACTAGCCCGATCGGGAGAGGTGACTTGGGCCGCAATAGCAATCTTATCAATCCTCCCTCCCACTCTATCTCTCTCTTTCTCTCTCTCTCTGNTCTCTCTCTCTCTCTCTCTCTCTCTCTCTCTCTCTCTCTCTCT